TGCAGCCATTATTGTTGTTTGGCGGGCCCGGGCTGGGGATTCGAACCTGCCACCTTAGGTGTAGGTGGCTGGAGCCTTAGCCGCTTGAGCCACAGGCGCCGAGCCTTTCCAGGTGTTTCATTGTGATGCAAAGGAAATGAACACTTGTTGAAACTACATGTGAAGCTGTTTGTCTAGGCGCTTTCATTTGGTCATCTCATATTTACTTAACATTTAAATGGCGCGCACTTTTCATTTAAACTTTAAGGCGTTTACTAGACCCTGCTGTCCAGATTTGGAATCCATGAGATACCCGGTTTGTCCCTGAGTAACCATGGCCGGCAGCTCCGTCCAAAGCAACTTTGTTTACATATAATCGCAGTATCTGATCATCTTTCTTTTGTAGAGCACATAAGTCAGCTCGCGATAAATTTCAGACCTCTTACATTGTGAGATTTTGGCCTTTAAGTGACGTTGAATGTGTACGTAAAATGCCTTTCAGGGTCATGACTGTTTTTTAATCACAGGCTGGGCTTCAGAGAATGTTTAGCCAGAATGTGAGGGGATTCAAATCCCTCTTCTAGTTTTTCCAAATTTCCAATCTGGGGATGAAAACACGTAGTTTTTCCTGCTTCCTCCGCAGCAAGGCCCAGGACGCGAAGTGACACCAAGGCCACCTGGCTCCAGCCCGGAAATGCGAGCCTCAAGGGGTGGAGTAAGAGGCGGACGTACTAACTCTACCCAGCTCAAGGCAGTCCCAGGTTCGCCATCGCCACCACAGCCACTGCCCACCCGGAACACCCTCCTCAACCCCCCATCAGGCTCCCCCACTGCGCTCATCAGCAGCGGAAGGGCAGGAGATACACAACAGCCCAGAAAACTCACGCAAAGCCCCGCCCTGCCGTGACGTCCGGAGGACGCGACGCGTCGCCACGCAATGCATATCGGGAAAAGGGGATGAGCTGGGCTGGCTTCCGCGGGGATAGCGAAGGCTGAGTCTCCCTCGGGTTCCTGGGAGATGGGCCTTTGGCGAGCAGGCCTGGCGTTAGTGAAGCGCGTTCGGCGCCGCGGTGAGTGCGGGTCTGGGCCCTGGCCTCTGTTCCCTGGGAATTCGTCTGCTGTGAACCTCCTTTTTTTCCCACCAGCTGCTGATCACCCGGGAGACGAGCCCTTCTGCGGAGAGGGGTGGGACAAGCCCGAAACCGAACCGGCTTGTGGAGGAGGGGACCAACCTCGAGTCTTGGGTTGCCCAGCGAGTTTCGTGTGTTTTTTCGTTCTTAGAATGGTCTTCACCATTCTTTCCTTATTTTGGACGCTCAGACCCAACTTTGACCTCTCTTCGCTTCCATTTTTTGATATTCTGCTGTTTACAGTGGCAGGCCTCACTACAGCCCGTCAGAGTGTTTCCCGGTTCCTACTCTGCCACAGTCACACTTGCTTTTAGTGAAGTTCAAGTAGAAGACCCCATAAGTTCATCAGAGTTAAAAAAAAAAATGACTTCCTCAAATAGAAGATCTAGCCCCCTCCCCCAAAACGTGCCAGAGTTGTGAGACAAGTTAATTTCACCTCCTCTCCACCTTCGAAATTGTTAGAACCCTGAATTGCAGTGATGTGCACTTATACATAAAGCCGAAAACCACACTCCTGGGTTTATTTCTTGCCTCTGGTTCTTTCTCTGACCTTGAACAAGTCAATCAGTAACGAAATATTTACCTGACTCTTAAGAGGTGTTGCAGAGCGTAAGGAATTTAATATTTGTGAAGACCTCTTGAGAGTTTCAGATGAAAGTGATACCCAACTGAAAGATGTTTACTCTTTCTGAATCTGCAAAGCATTCTTAGTTTTGTAGATATCCTGCTGCAGCCATTAAAAATGCCTAGTGGTAATTGTTAAGGAAGTGTTCCTGTTTTAGGCTTGCTCTGCGGCTTTGCTATGTAAGCAGATTTTGCATTTCAACCGATTTTGCTTAAGATTCATTGTTCAATGTCATTCATGGTGGATTTAGATAAGTTTTTCATGGCAACACAATACTGGGCCAGGAAGTATATTTGAAAGGTGATGTCAGTTGTCTTTAAGTCTTTATCATGTTCTGCCTTGAAATGTGTATTCCTTTTCTTCTGACACAATGCGTCTTTACTATTCAATAGTAAGGATCCTGTAATAGTGGGGGAAAAAAGTAGACACACCTTTCATTAATGAAATTTTGCACATAGGTTATTTTTTGAGAAAGCACATGAAAAATAACAAAATACTTTAAATGTCCCTATGTAGCATTTAATTTTTTTACATTTGAATAATATGTTTAGCCCACTTATCTAACATATTAGCATTGCAACATGTGCTCCAATATAAAAAAAATTTTTTTATTAAATCATATTTATGTACATTAATGCAATTATGGGTACAATGTGCTGGTTTATATACAATTTGAAATACTTTCATCAAACTGGTTAACATAGCCTTCACCACATTTTCTTAGTTATTGTGTTAAGATATTTATATTCTACCCTTAGTAGATTTAACATGTACCCTTATAAAATACACCATAGGTGGGTGTCGCCAGTAGCTCAGTGGGTAGGGCACCGGCCCCATATACTGAGGGAGGGGGGTTCAAACACGCCCCGGCCAAACTGCAACCGAAAAAAAAAAAATAA